GTCTAAGCGTATTGTCGCAGAGTCGTAGTGAGGCTCTTCAATTCGCCTCGCCCACATTTGAGAAGGCAATAATTCCTTCAAGTCCAAGCACCGCTTGTGAATTCATGAGAATCTGATTCTATTCACAAAGGCAACGTTGTACGAAATGAATCAAACCATCGAAAGTAATCGTGAATTACAGTGGTTTTGAGATTACAAGATTTTATCAATGAACAGATTAGCACTAACATGAGAACAGAAACAGACAAGCAACTTGTCACAGGTGCCAGTACTCGTAAATTACACCAAAAAAGGACTGCGAAATCCCAAAATATAACAAAAAATACATGGGTAAACATGATAACATGGAAGTTCGAGATCCAATAGTCAATCTAAAACAAAATTTAAACTATACGACAAAAATGCCAGGCAATCCTCCCTCGGCAGGCGTTAAATCAAGACAGTTGAAAAAAACTTCTGGTTAAGGATACGTAGGATGCGGCAGATACAATAATATCGAAAGAAGTTGCGCGAGTGAGCGGAAACCTTTGTCGTGAAATCAAAACACAAACCCATACAAATCTTAAATGACAGTGAAAATGATAAAAATAACACTAGAAAACCACAAAAGGCCTCTTTACAACAACCACAAGAACAACATTTGTCTATAAAAATGGCAGTAATATGGAGATACTCCTCAGCAATATACACTAGAAAAAGACATCACTTCCTGAACATCATGTAGAACAAACAAATGTTAACAATGAAACTAAATACTGCTATAACAACCAATGCCACAGTGGTCCATGGCTTTCGTTTTTCTTCTTCTCTTTGTGAGATAGAGGTAAATGTCGACCTGGTTGGAGAATCCTCACGACGCAAGGAGCGCAGAGTTGGTAATCCCGTAAAAGTGCTTTTAGCCTGAAAGAAGATTGCAAAAGCTACTTGAAAGCTGCCTGTCAAAAAAATGCGCGCTTAGACCTACCAAATCCAAAACAAACTAAAAATATAAAAATTTTGAAAGAAAAACCAGCGAAGAACAGCAACAACAAACCGCTGAAAATCTCGAATTAGCCATTGATGGGGCGTATGAACGGGAAATTCTCGAGCCACCCAAAGGGAAAGCAGCAGGTCGTCCAGCACCGAGTCCCAAATCACTCTTCGCAGGTGCAGGCTGTTTCTCGCCAAATAAAGATAAAGACGACAAGGACGGTGCCAGTTCACGACTAGGCGTCGTCTCTCGGACCATCCTGGCCATCACCTCCGACGGTCGCATTTTTCCATGGGCAGTGACGTCTGGCGACCGCGTTATATTTGCGGCAGGTTCCCAATCCATTTCCTAAACAACAACACCACTCACACATTAGACAGACAAATAGTCCAAAAAATTCACCTCATAGTCCTCCGCACGTTTCGGTGACGTCATCGGTTCAGGTGTTTGTTCGCGTTCACGCCATTTCATACGCTGGCGCACAACTACTTCCGACGCCGAACTTGGGGTCCCTCCAAAACTTCCGTTCTTTCTCAGTTTTGGAGATATTATCGACGTATTGCAACTGCTAGCTTGTGATGAGCATTGAGACATGGGTGTAGATGCTATGGAAAATGCACTGAAACCATGTAAATAAAAAACAATGCTTACCAAGTCAGAAGAACAAAAAATAAAGATATTGCAAAAAAAGTCCAACAAAACCCGAAAAAGGATATAAGCACTTCAGAAAACTATGGACTACCTCGACAGCATTCTGTTCGGTCGCTTTCTATGCATCTTCTTTCTTGGAACGAATGTGATCGCCGTCGCTAACAACATCTCGAATGAAGCGAAAGCACATCGAACCAATGCCAAATCTTCATGATTAGTCTAAAACAGGACATGTTGCGAAGTACATAAAAGTCTCCAGGAAAACAAACCTCGTCAGGGATGTAGAATGATAGCAGATGAAGAGTCGCGAAAAATGGCAGAAGAAGATCTGGTAATGTTGCACGGCACCTATAAACTCTTTTACCTTGGTGTACTTCGTAACATTAAGCGAAGAAGTGGTAAGGCAAATTGTAGCAAAATGGATAAA